ACCTGGTGCGGGCGGTGTGTAAACATCGCCACGAGGCAGACAAAGGCGGCCAGGCGTGGTGTTGGCCACCCACCCCCTCTTGAGAATCTGCTTTAATTACGGGCGATTGAAACTTGGATTTGAACTCAATCTCCCAGTTGACGCTGTCTCAATGTCTCTTGACTCCTGGGCCACTTGGCCACGTTATGAATGGCTTTTGTGTGGAATTGCCTGCAGTGGGATTGAACGGCTGTTGTCTCCTCTCCTATAACATCTAAACGAAGATTTAAAAAAAGGTAAACCCCAGGCATAGACGTTTGTACTGGCACAATGTCTAAGGTCAAACAGATTTTATGGAAATCAAATTAACAAAAGCTTATCCTATCACAGTTAAGTTATTTGTCCGTACCTACGGGGAATGCAGTGTCGGCTAGATATTGGATGCGATGTAGAATTCAATACTTTTGAACGAGCAATGTGTTTGCGGTTCGCGGATGTTCCGTACCGTGTTTTTGCTCTCTGGAGTCCTTTTGTACTTGTAACACACGACGACTATATATACACGACGTATGAGCAGCGGTCAAAGGGTTTTCGAGCAGTCATCATTTGCCAGTATTAAGGCGCCTCGTCACTGATATACACACACATGCGTGTCACATTTTGAGGCCTCATCACCGATGAAATAGAAACAAAGTAATTGAGTTTCATGAAGACAAGTACAGTGTAGCTAAATTGTAATTTCCAACAATACATAGGAAATGGAATTTGATAAAAAAAAAGTACTCGTGATTTAATAGATGAATAGCATGATAAAAAGTTAGCCGGATTAGCGAAGGAGCCAATATTCTGTTAAAATGAATTATGTCATCTGTTGAAAATTGTTATTAAATTAAGACCGTCCTGACATTAATCATTTTTACATTAATCTACATCCACTCACTTTAAATAGCATTTTCTGAGTTAGCACATTTATCTCTGCTCTCCATATTAACTTTAAATGTGTTGCAATAGTAAAGCTCATTGAATGTGGATATTTATACTGAAATGGACTGTAGTTGACTGAGCTGGCAGAGTTGCCTTTTCTATAGGAATTGATACAGTAATAGCATAACATAGCCATGCTAAATCCAGCAGTGAATTGAACATGGCAGATGATGATGACAGTACTACATAGACATGTAAAATTAGTTCCCAGAGATTCGTGTGTCACCATCAAACAGACACAGCCCACCAAGGACATCGCTGATGTAAATCATTATATATCCAGAGCCACACATCAACATTTGTATCACAAAGAAAAACAACCCAAACTAACCCATGTTTTTCTAATTATGTGAACATCCTTGGTATAAAGTACTTGAAGATATTTTTGTTTAAATTACGAACGTCATGTCCAGTTGATTGACCATATTTTGCAGATTATTCAGCCCTGGCCAATTACGAAACTGCGCACTCCGGAGTAGACTGGGATATGTCACCCGTGACTCTGGGAAAAGGGACCCGTGACAACAACACTGCAGGTGCCGTGGTGGATTGTTACATCGAAGGATCGTGAGAGGTGGCGGTGGCTTGGGGAGGCCTTCATCCAGCAGTGGATTGAACATGGCTAATAATGATGATGATAATCATAACAATGATAACATTATGAAACGCAAGTTTTGTTCCTGGGTAGTCTGTTATTTCCTAATTGCTTATACCTAAAAAGTATAGAAAATGGCTATTATTCCCCACAAACTTTGCTTTTGTGACCAGGACAATGATATTTAGAAATTTACCTTTTTTAAATGAGAAAACGGGCGAATTTGTGTCTTTTCGTTCACATAAAGTCAGAAAAAAACAACATATGAATAAAATCTTGATTTGAAGCTTTCGTGACTGCCGCGGTGGTCCACTTTACTCCAGTGACTCGGGTGCTGCTGCGGGCTCCACTTTCTGTCCCCCCCCCCCCCCCCCACTTGTCTCTCCCCCACTGCAGCCGATCTCCCAGACCTCTCCAAGGAACTAAACTGAATTGGTGGGCTTAAGGCTACTATTTATATTACTGGAAAGCTCTAGAATGTTCTAGAAGTTACTCAAAATTTACTCAGCACTGAATCTCTCTGGAATGTTCTGGAAAATAGGTACATTTCTAAATATCACTGTCCTGGTCACAAAAGCAAAGTTTGTGGGGAATAATAGCCATTTTCTGTACTTTGAGCCATAAGCAATTAGTAAATAACACTTACTACCCAGGAACAAAAAAAATGTGTTACACAGTGTAATCATCATTCTTAGCCGCGCTGACATTTATCATGATATAATCATGATGCTCATCATCATCATTATTGTTAGCCATGTTCAATCCACTGCTGGACGAAGGCCTCCCAAAGCTGCTGCCACCACCACCTGGCTTCACATTTATTATTATAGACCCATCCCCAATAAGTAAGTAACCATACCGTTGCATATCAATGACTTTGTCGTGGTTTACTTTAATTGGCCAAAGTTGAAAGGCATTGTCTGTCATCAAAACTCCCCTCAAGGCATTTTGTCACCATATGAGTGGTGATAGAAATGTATGAAATAAAGTTTGTTTTTGAAGTCCCTTTTAGATGTATTTTACTTTTATGCCGACACCCCAAGGTAAGGATATGCCGTGACTTGTAAAAGGCTTGACCCCAAAACTGAATGTAGATGTTTTCAAATCCACAAAGAAGCATAGAAAAAAAAAATAGCCGTCAGGCACGGCAGCGTGGCGCTTCGCTCAGATATGCAAACATAAATTCGCGATTCAATATTTGTCCGAAGTGATAAGACCGTTGAGGCCCAAACATCTGTTGCAATTTCAAGATGTTTCGGTTGAACGGCGAGTAGGCATTAAAAGCAAAACGAATGAACAAAGCCATTCCACGTTGCCCTTGCGATATTGAAACTGAAAATGAGCTAAACAAAAGCGGCAGTCACACCTTGCACCAGCCGTTCCATAAAACAAATTAAAACAAATAAAAAGCTGAGCCTTAATCCAGCACTTTCTTGTGGCAGAGAGTATCTTTGAAAAAAAACAACCCATGCCTTTAAAATGCCATGTTTTTCACAAGAAATGTATTGACAGAACGACAGTTTTGGTGGGGGGAGGGGTGTGGAAATGAAATTCAGAGAATGCTGGGGCCCTTTAGTGTGGCGTTTACGCTGCACGGGAGGAGCGCCCGAGGTCCCGAGAGCATTGTGGTCACGGGAGGACGGCCCGCGCGAGGGGTGCCACATTTCACAAACGTGGAAATCGCAGCAACACAGCACCGCCGTGTGCTTTGCCTCCTCACTCGCTCGCCTATCACATTAGCGCAGGACAGCGTTTTGAATAAAGTTGGCATGGAATTGTGTTCAGTGCCGACCCACAAATGACGCGGCGAAAATAATAATAATGATAACGCATCCAGCCGTTCTCATGCACTCGCGAATGTCTGCCCGGTGACCTCTGCACAGGTTTCTGTATCGTCATGAAGTCGCATTTTGTTCAGCTTTTTAGCGTAAATTCAACTCAGATTGGTTCGAAATCTAATTCCAGATCAACTTCGAGATTGACGTTACTCTATTCAAGATATTTTTTGGGCTCACCCCTTGCCTCCGTCTCATCTCACTCTTACTCCCCATCCACTCACTTTTTGCTCCAACGACCATCGCCTTCTGTCAAAATCCCTCAGTCAACCTCTGCTCTGTGGGAGGCCACTTCTTCTCCTCTGCTGCCCCCATTGTCTAGAACTCTGTTCCTCCAGATGCGCGTGCTGTCGACTTGCTGTGCCTGTTCGTGCGAGTGACAGGTTGTCGACTGGTGCCTTTGTGCCCCAACTGGTTTCTCATCCCGTCGTGCGCGCGAGAGTCGAGATACACGGAAAAAGGAGCCGAGCATTTACACTGTGTCTCTTGTTTGGAATGCAGTGCAAGTCTATTGAGCCTTAAGTAGTATTACCTTGTGGGTGTGGCAGAGGTGGTTGAATCACTTATGTATAGATGAATGGTAAAGTATGAAGTTTGTTTACTACAACTGCTATTCTTTGCTGTCATGAAATTATAAAAAGTTACAATTCTTCTCAGGGTGGTTTCACCTGGTTAAATAGGGGACACTGACTGATCGATTGATTCAATCAAGTATTCCATTACATGCTTTGTCTCATGATAACTTAGCTTGTGTATTCTATATTCGAAGGCATTACCAGCTGAATCCGGTGTCTTTGAACAGCATAGACACGCTGCCCTTTAGCTTATGAGGGTAAGAGTACATTTCAGCCCTTCATCAATTCACTGCCCTGTGAAGGTCCCCATGCTGTGTTGGTCATGGGAGGTTGGTTACTTCATCACGCTGGTCAGTGTGATACACTGGTCAGACAGCACTCACCACTGATGTTAGCCGTGGCTGTAAATTCAACTCAGGTTGATTCTAAATCCAAGTCCAGATCAACTTCAAAATTGACGTAATTCTATTCAAGATCTTTTTTTTTTGGGGCTCGCCGCTTGCCTACCTCTCATCTCACTCTTACCCCCCTTCCAGGGACTCTCTCACTGCTCCCACTTCGGCCTTCTCATCTCATTCTTACTACCATCCACTCACTCTTTGCAACAGCGACTATCGCCTTCTGTCAAAGCCCCCAGTCGTCCTCTGCTCAGTGGGAGGCCACTTATTCTCCTCTGCTGGCCCCATTGTCTCGTGCTCTGTTGCCCCAGATGCCCATGCTGTAGACTTTCTGTGTCTGTTCAAGTCCAGGCTCAATGCCTACTTTCTCTCCTCTACCTGTGACTGACTCTTCGTTCGTAAACAAAACAACGAATCAGCCTCTGTTGCCCGTGCCCTGTGTCCTATTGTCTGTGACTTATTCACCTGTACAGTGCCTTGAGATGCAGTTTGAATGGAAATGCTCCACATATTGCATTGCATTGTGCCACCGCTTCCCTTCCGTGTCAATTCAGTTGTTCCCGCGAGTGCCGATGGACGGCGCTGCCTCTGAGTGATGTCTCCTGTGGCTTTTTGTTTTTGCTCCGTGCGGCAGGAACTCAGTCGGCACTGAGGGTGATCGTCCCTTCTCCGGTGACGGTGGAGTTGGGGAGCGATATCATCATCCCGTGCTCATACGAGGTGACGGACGGCAGCTCTGCCACCTCGTCCTCCTCACCCGTCACTTTGCAGTGGCTCTACGTGAGTGACACAGCGGGCATGGACACGCAGGCCACACGGGGAAACAGATACGGACTGATGTGCATGTATGTTGAATTTATTTTGCGCCGTACGTAGCTAAACCTGCTAATCCTAGGTGCGGGGGAAGGAAAACAAACTAAACACAAAAAGCAGTTCTAAATAAATTAGTTTTCAATTTAGATTGAAAAGTACAGTGGCTTCCTAACGTCGGAAGGAAGAATATCCAAGACGGACGCGGAAGTGCATCTGAAAGCCCGCTTCAAAGATCCTCCTATAGCAGTGGCCCTTAACCTTCACTGCAGCCTTGCATCCCGTTGGTTCTCAATCGTAAACAAAATGTATAATGGGAATAAATACAAAGGGTTTGATGAAACAAAGTAGTTGTACTCACGTACCCGTGCTTAATTTGTGTTTTGATTATTTACCTTGAAAAACATCATGGCATGTCTCGCACCCCCAGAGAGGGCATCTCGCACCCCCAGAGAGGGCATCTCTCACCCCCAGACAGGGCATCTCTCACCCCCAGACAGGGAATCTCTCACTCCCAGAGAGGGCACCTCACACCACCAGAGAGGGCATCTCTCACCCCCAGACAGGGCATCTCTCACCCCCAGACAGGGCATCTCTCACCCGCAGACAGGGCATCTCACACCCCCAGATAGGGCATCTCTCACCCCCAGACAGGGCATCTCTCACCCGCAGACAGGGCATCTCACACCCCCAGAGAGGGCATCTCTCACCCCCAGACAGGGCATCTCTCACCCGCAGACAGGGCATCTCACACCCCCAGACAGGACATCTCTCACCCCCAGAGAGGGCATCTCTCACCCCCAGGGAGGGCATCTCTCACCCGCAGACAGGACATCTCTCACCCCCAGAGAGGGCATCTCACACCCCCAGCCAGGGCATCTCTCACCCGCAGACAGGACATCTCTCACCCCCAGATAGGGCATCTCTCACCCCCAGGGAGGGCATCTCACACCCCCAGGGAGGGCATCTCACACCCCCAGATAGGGCATCTCACACTCCCAGACAGGACATCTCTCACCCCCAGATAGGGCATCTCACACCCCCAGGGAGGGCATCTCTCACCCCCAGACAGGACATCTCTCACCCCCAGATAGGCCATCTCACACCCCCAGGGAGGGCATCTCACACCCCCAGGGAGGGCATCTCACACCCCCAGACAGGACATCTCTCACCCCCAGACAGGGCATCTCACACCCCCAGACAGGGCATCTCACGCTCCCAGAGAGGGCATCTCACACCCCCAGACAGGGCATCTCACACCCCCAGGGAGGGCATCTCACACCCCCAGACAGGGCATCTCACACCCCCAGACAGGGCATCTCACACCCCCAGAGAGGGCATCTGACACCCCCAGAGAGGGCATCTCACACCCCCAGACAGGGCATCTCTCACCCCCAGACAGGGCATCTCACACCCCCAGACAGGGCATCTTACACCCCCAGACAGGGCATCTCACACCCCCAGAGAGGGCATCTGACACCCCCAGAGAGGGCATCTCACACCCCCAGGGAGGGCATCTCACACCCCCAGAGAGGGCATCTCACACCCCCAGACAGGGCATCTCACATTCCCCAGACAGGGCATCTCACACCCCCAGAGAGGGCATCTCACACCCCCAGGGAGGGCATCTCACACCCCCAGAGAGGGCATCTCACACCCCCAGACAGGGCATCTCACACCCCCAGACAGGGCATCTCACACCCCCAGAGAGGGCATCTCACACCTCCAGGGAGGGCATCTCTCACCCCCAGACAGGGCATCTCACACCCCGAGACAGGGCATCTCACACCCCCAGACAGGGCATCTCACACCCCCAGGGAGGGCATCTCACACCCCCAGGGAGGGCATCTCACACCCCCAGAGAGGGCATCTCTCACCCCCAGAGAGGGCATCTCTCACCCCCAGACAGGGCATCTCACACCCCCAGGGAGGGCATCTCTCACCCCCAGACAGGGCATCTCACACCCCCAGACAGGGCATCTCACACCCCCAGACTGGGCATCTCTCACCACCAGAGAGGGCATCTCTCACCCCTAGGGAGGGCATCTCACACCCCCAGGGAGGGCATCTCACACCCCCAGGGAGAGCATCTCACATCTCCAGGGGGTGCTTGCACCCCAGGTTAAGAGCCACTGCCCTATAGCCTTAACAGACTGTTGGGGCAAGTGCTGTGAGCCACCTGTAAATACCAACAACACACGGTGTGGAGTGTGTAGCCAGCATCACTCCTGGCTTGCCTCGGTCTCCCCAGTGCTGATGTTTACGCACTGCAACGGCTACTCATTCAAGGCTGAGTCAACCTAGCAGAGGCCCAGAACCCGTTCAGATATTCGTCACTGTTGGCTGTGAGCGGGCACTAATAATAACTCCATGTATTTAGCGCTTTTCATCAAGGCTGTCAAAGCGCTGAAAAGCACACAGTAGCAGCAGACACTGCTGCAAACCCACGCACACCCACAGACACGCACACACCCACACTTCCACACGCACACCCACACACAACAAGACAAGATCCCCCGCATAGCCTAAACAGACTGTTAGGGCAAGTGCTGTTTGCGGCACACGAGGGGGTGGGTGGCCAACACCACGCCCGGCCGCATTTGTCTGCCTAGTGGCGATGTTAACACATCGCATCAGCTACTCATTTGAGGCTGAATCGACCTAGGGGAGGCCCAGGACCGTTTCAGATCATCGTCACTGGTGTTGGCCGTGAGCGGAAAATGAACCGCTCCCCCACACTACATTGCCCTCACACTACACACGCACACACCCACACCTAGGCACGCATGCACACACGCACACACCCACACCTAGGCACGCATGCACACACGCACGCACCCACACCTAGGCACGCATGCACACACGCACACACCCACACCTAGGCACGCATGCACACACGCACACACCCACACCTAGGCACGCATGCACACACGCACACACCCACACCTAGGCACGCATGCACACACGCACACACCGCCTTGCAGGACACGTGAGATGTGTCCAGACATACGCACGGGGGGGGGGGGGGGGGGTGACGCGCGGCACATCGAGGCACTGCATTAGCAACTCAATAAGCAATGTGCGTGGAATTGGTCAATGCGACTCGTTGCTAAAATGCGCGACCCGGTTGGCATTGTTTTCGGCAATGGCAGTTTTGCCAGCTCTTCTGCGGACCATGACATCCGAGTAATTGGTCAGCTGCGATAATTACATTGTTTCGCGGTTAAGTGCGTCTCGGGCTGGGAATCGTTTAATTAGGGCGATGTGTAACGGACAGATGGTCGTGTCGGAATGCGGAGAGCTTAACACGTAATTCTTTATTTCACTAAAAGCGCATCTGTTAATGATTGAGTTGGTGGCCGTAATTCTGATGTGTGGGTGTGGATTTAATCGAAAAAATCGGCTCCGATTTGATACGTTTTTGTGCAAATACATACACTGTACAGGACAAATATTGAATGGTGAATTCAGACGAACAGATTGGGCATTGGGATCTCTATGAACATTGCATTGAATCAAAGCTGACAGAAAACAATGAAAGCGAATGTGTCTCTTGGCTGACAACCCTGACACTGACGCACGCCTAGAATTTAGCGGACATTTCCAAAACTGTAAATTATCAGGGACACGCAGAACAAAGCAATATATATACTGTATCCAGTATTTGTGAAAATCTGGAAAGTGAAATGGGATTAAAGTTATGAAATAAAGATATGGACGAGACCAAGGTACAGTGATTTTTATTTACACACCAAAACTTTATTATGAATTGCAACATTAGCAGTGCATGTCACCTGCTATGACAAAATGGGTCAGAGAGATTGACAACAACGAAAATTAAACACGAGCTGACAAGTATACAGAGCAGTTTGGTTTATTTTGTTTAACCGGATGAGAACTCAAGAGGCAGTCTCATTTGCAGGAATAACAAAACCAAGTAAAAAATTCGAAGAAATGCAAAAGCAAAAGAAGCGTGGAAGAGAAACTCGTGCTTGGAATCACACCGAGAGACAGAAAGAGGAGCACGTGGGTCAGAGAACATGCACGTTGTAGTCGTGGCCCATTGGAAAAAAATAAAATTAAATGGCATTGGACATGGCCACGTCGCCAGTGAGGTTTGGTGGCGAATACTCAGTTTCAGTTTCATTTATTTGGCATAGCCCTGTGAGCCATTCGGCTCTTGAATTGGGTGCAACCGCAACAAACAAAAAACAAAAACGTGAACAAGAAAACATCTTAAAGTGACTATGCGCAAACAGAAAAATCCAGGAAAAAACTGCAAAGTCTTCCAGAAAAAAAGCAGCGTACACCAACGAGGTTGGAAACGACGTCAGTGGCAGTCGAAGGAGAGAACGCGCCTCCTGAGTGGGCCATGAACCGCACGCAACCTGGCTCCATACGTGGAGTTGCAGGCCATCCCACGAGCTCATGACGACACGGACTGTGTGTATGTATCAGAGGTCGCAAACGGGTTTTGATTCCTTACTCGTACCTGTACCCGGCCGCACCAGGGTCGCAAATGGGTACCCGTGCCCGTACCCGGCCATACCCGTACCCTACCCGTACCCGGTCGGGTACGGGTAGGGTACGGTTATCGGGTACCTGATTGCGACCTCTGGGATGAAGCCATGTTGCAGGCACGGGTGGGTTGATTCTAGGAACTTGAATTGTGAGAAGAGACAAGACGTTGGGAAATGAGTGACAAACAGTTACTCACCAGTGACTCACGGTCTACCCGTACCCGGCCGCACCAGGGTTGCAAACGGGTAGCCGGGTATCGAGTAGGGTACGGGTATCGGGTACCCGGTTGCGACCTCTGGTATGTATGTCGAACTTCTTTCGCACCGTACGAAGCCAACCGTGCTAATCGGAGGTGCGGGAGAAGGACAACAAACTGAACACAAAAAGCAGTTCTAAAGAAATGAGTTTTCAATCTAGATTTAAGAGTGCATAGCTCCAGTGGCTTCCTAATATCGGAAGGAAGAGCGTTCCAGACGGCTGCAGAAGCTCATCTGAAAGCGCGCGATGTGGTGACCGCCTATGATCGATGGCGAGCCACCGAAACCAGCCCGAGACGTTGCCTGAACTGCACGTGTCATATACCGAATATGTAATCAAAATGCCTATAAATGGCCGAGCACATAAAAGAAAGAAAATGAAAATTCCGCAGAGCCTCCTTTGGGCTCTTGAAGTAGTCATGCATTGTGTCATGAGCCATAGCTTCATTAATTTTGTGCACAAAGCTAATACTTTACAGTTTAATATGAAATGATTGTGTACGGTTTAATTGCAGGTACCAAGCCAGAAATGGCATTATTGGACGAACCCAAATGTACGCCAAATACAGAAGGGGATGGTGAAATTATTGTCTCAGCTGACTATCCTATTAAATGAGATTCTTTTTTTCAATTCCAGCTTTCATTTGAAAAACACCTCAAAGCAGACATTCCATTATACAACAAAAAATATTTCATAAAAAAACAACCTTGCGCCTGTGTTGTGCAAACATGCAATCAAATGGGCCCCCTATACTTGATTAAGCGCTGATCGCCGGGTCCCAGCAAAATATATCGCATAAGTAAAGTGAGCAAGCGAAGCATAAAATTGAAACTAAAATGCGATGGCACATAGCTGAAATAAAGAGTCTCTCTGGATCTAAATGGAAAGAAAATGAAAACCCTTAGATATCGTTTCGACTGTAATCACCGTATATACAAGTGTAAATGTTTCTGAAATGAGTGCAGTTTTTTTTGGCGTTCCATATCGCTGGACGTGAAATTTGCCGCCCGTTTTATTTGGCTCCATCTCATCTAACTCCAGCACTCCGGGGATGTGTCCTCCTGCAAATGCCACGACTGAACATTCTGCGGAGCAGCGTCGACCTCGTGTTGGCGTTGTTGCCCGATGCCAGGATGCGAACTCTTCCTCTTGCTCCTTCCCCCCCCCCCCCCCCCCCCCCATTGGTTCACTGAACCTCCGTGGTTCTGCACCTTCTCATCCAATCATCACGCAATTTCCGGTCATCTACGCAGCAGCGGCTTCTAGCTAGTCTTCTAACAAGGACGGTCACTGCATCGCGCGCTTTCATATGCGCTTCTGCGGCCGTCTGGAACGCTTTCCTTCCGATATTAGGAAGCTGCTGGGAGCGATGCACTTTTAAATCATCCAGTTTGAAAAGTCATTTCTTTAAAACTGCTTTTTGTGTTCAGCTTGATGTCCTTCCCCCGCACCTCTGATTAGCACGGTTAGCTATGTACGGTGCTAAAGAAGTTAAACATACATACGTTAAACCACCGCCCAACCGCTTGCCTCATTGGCTTTTCTTTATAATCAGCGAGAAGACATTGGTCACTGCTGGTGTAATATTTTGACTTCGCTCCCGTGAGCTTCACAGACACCGTCTCCACAAAGCTCCCGTGGTCCGTCAAATTAAGCAAACACGCGGTCGCTCAGGACAATTACTTAGAGTTTGACTCGTACGGTCGAGGTGACCGTCTCCCGGCATGTGAGTCGAGCTTGTTTCTTCCTCTTGCAGCGCCTTCGACTGTTCAATATTATCGCAGTTCGCAAGACACTGCGAGTTCATTATAACAACAACAACAATGAAATACACTGTTGCTTTGAGTCTAATTGAATACCTGGTTTGAGGTTTATTTCTTCTTCTTCTCAGAATGATAAGAAAAACATATCATCGTAGGACAGTCGTTCAAAATAATTATCGCAAGTATACACGGTTTAAAAAAAGAAAACCCCATTGTCCTTTTCCCCCTCCAAAAAAAAATTCCGCTCATACTTTTAGCGTCACCAAATCACCCCGAGTGCACCCGATCACGTCGGATCCCGACAGCTAAGTGGCGACGAGCCTGGTTGATCTCTGGATGGGAGACCGACCGTGAATACCGAGTGTTGTCGGGGTGGTGACCGCGTGACCCGCCTTGTCCGATCGGCCCTCTGCTGCTGCTGCCGCCGCTCTCTCTCTCTCCCGCTGTCAGGAAGAAAAGGGCACGGACGGACGGACCAGCCCTCAACGTATTCTATATAAACATGGCAGCACCATCTACCACGATAACAACGTCCACTACTACGGGCGCGTGGACGTGTCCGCCGACCTCACGCTGACCGTTCGCCAGGCGCGCCTGGAGGACGCTCGCACGTTCACGTGCGAGGTCGTGAGCCCGCACGGCACCAACGAGGCCCACACCACGGTCAACGTCTTCGGTGAGTCAGCGCCGCCCCCGCGTTCGCGGGCCTCTCCCCCATCTATGGCATTGAGTCGCGTTTTGCGCGTCTCGCAGCAGTTCCGCGATGCAGTGCAGCCTGACAAGTTAAAATCATCCGAGCGATTTATTTTTCGTATTTCTGTTTGGTCTGATCCAGCAAAGCGCTTACCGTGCAGCGGCACTTTGTCAGTGCGATGGTGGCCGTGCAAATCTAAACTTTGGTAAACCACTGTGGCCTGCGCTCCATTAATGGAGGCATAACAAAACTACACGAACTCTCTCCCGAAGCTCTCTTTGTGGCGAGCAAATGTCAACATGGATATTTCGTACTCTTTGGTTCTTTCGGTAAAGCCACGTAGGTGAAAAAAATAAAAATAGAAAAATAATAAAAATAAAATGAAAATAGAAGTAAATCAATCACGACGTTTCGATTGCAACACAAGCAATCGTCATCAGGTGTGACAACCACAGCAAGACATTTTTTTACTGAAGTGGGAGAGATGCTGGAGTTAAGAGGCTTCATATAAGTCAGAGAGGTGGGACATATTTCGCTCCTGAACAACGTTTCGCTACGATCGCTCGCAAGACAAGAATTGGAGGGCTCTGCCAAGTTTTCGCAGTCGTGGGGGCGGCTTTGCTGCCGAACAATCCCAATCGAGCGTGTTTGTTGCAGGTACTGTTATCTCTCTGCCCATGGTTCATCACCAGCGTTTGAGCAAATAGCCAATGCGTGTCGAGGCGTCGCCCGTTTTGACAAGGATGCGCAATCCTTTGATTTAGTGCCACGTATTGTGCCCGCGTAACCACATTAAAGTGGGAGGCTGTTTGATGTTACTGTACACTTTAAGGCCTTTTTCGTGTGATAGTTAATCCCAAATTTGAAAAGAGTAATAGCACAAACTTATTTTTAATGATTCATTAATTGCTAATTTAATAGAGAAAATTGGCTTCAAAAAAGTATGAGCGGCTGTGCCAATAAAGTTAAACTTTATTTCGTTTAAAGTGACCTGGGAGGGTGATGATTGCTACGCATTATTCCAAGTTAGCGGATGTGGACCCCGAAGGCCTGAACACAGTGGCCTTCTCTTGCGAATGAAGTCAGGGGATCATTGACGTGCACCGTGAAGCAGACGGCGCGTAGTCGTACCGTTCTGCTTATTACACACCGCGGTAATAATCAGGGCGGCCCGATGGATTCGAACCTCTGTCACAAGCGGCGAGCCACACGCGAGGCCGTGTCACTTCCCTATAGGATTTCTTAGACTGTGAGCCATCGCGTACAGCGTGATCCGCCACGACGCGGCATGATGGTTAAACCAATATATATTGTTTTATCTAACAGGATAAAGGGGCTCATGACTGTATACAACATCACGAGAGTCAGATGCTGGAAAATGTTGGCTCGTAGTGAGACCTTGTTTTTGCAAAATTACATTCACTTTAACTTCATGGAATGAATGTTTAACAGGTTTAACGTTGTGTTTCTGTCTCACTACATACGTCGACGAGGGAGTGACAACAAATATGACGTTATAAAAAATGCAAGCGCTAAAATGTCAAGCGAAACGTACATGATTGATATCGTTACTCTGGGCACAGTGAGAAGTATAAACAGCTCGCCTCGTTGTGAAATGGAGGGAAATTATTTTTTTGTCACCAGAAGGATGCGGCAAGACCTACCGGCTGCGATTTTAAAATCGGTGCCAACTGATTGAGAGGGCCACGACACCCTGCCTCCTCCACACGCCCTCCTCATTTCGGATGTCCCCAGGGCGCGCGCAGGCTTGATCTGTCCCAACGCTGACAGGAGCCCAGGGAGACGCGCGCACGAGAGCGCGTGTTTGTCCGTGTGTCCGTGTGTGGCGAATCAGAGCCGTGGGCCCGCCAACCCGTCGGCAGTAGAATGCCGATGGCGTGCGCCTGCGTACGGACCGACGGGGAGCGGTGGCGGAGCGGTTAGCGCGCTGCGCTGTGCTGCGAACCTGGCGACCCGGGTTCCAGTCCCGCTCGCGGCCACCACCGGTGGCGATTATTTGAACCGGTCCTGGGCCTCCCTTAGGTCGACTCAGCCTCAAATGAGCACCCGGTGCGGTGTGTAAATATCGCCACTAGGGGAGACTGAAGCGGCCGGGCGTGGTTCTGGCTACCCCCACCCTCTCGTGTGCCGCGCCGGCCTTTATAGGTGCTCGCTAACAGCACTTGCCCCTACAGTCTGTTAAGGCTATACGGGGGATCTTTGTATTTGTCTTCGTGTGTGGCGAATCAGAGTCGAATGCCGGCGGTGCGCGCGTTTCGCGAGTCTCGGCGTCGTGCTCGGTCGATACCCCGGGGCGGGGGGGAATGTGGGGCGAGCGCGTTGAGACACGTCCCGTGGCGAGCCGGGCGTTTAGGGTTGGGGTGGCACGGACGGGAGAGGCAGTGCAGGTGACTGCAGATTTGATGATAATAGTGATTGTATAACGGGAAGGGGGGGGGGGGTTTAGAGGACAGTATGTATGTTGAATTTTTGTCGCACTATACGTTGCCAACTGTGCACAAGATGGGTCGAGAACCGACACGACACCGACCCAGCACAGGTTTGATCGTCGTCATCATCATCGTCGTCGTCATCATCCCTTCATGATTCACATATTTCTTGAGACGTGAACCAAATGCCCAAAACTTTCTGAACACACCAACGGCATATTAGTGTATAACTATACATACAAATAAATACAATCTAACAACAACAACAAAAAACATTGAATAGGTGTATGTTTGCACGTGCAATGTACCATGGGACATTGCTTAAAGCCCATAAAAAAATGTCAGTATCGAGTCTGTCCTTGAATGGATCCAAGCCCGTCGATGCAGCGACATGCTCGGGCGGATTGCCGCCTTAACGCCGGCACCGCGGTGGCGAGGGCTCAGCGCCCACGGTGGCGACCCCCATGGCACCTGACTGGGACCCCGTCCATGGCCGCCACTGCACCTGAGCGCGCTGGCAGTGATGTGCAGCTGCGATGGGGGGTGCACGTGGACGTGCAGTCAGGGCGACCACGTGCAGTGAGTTAGCCACCTGCTTTAAACTCCCGTGAAGGGCAGCAGGCGACCAGGGTACATCTCGGGGGAAAAGAGCCACACGTGTTCACAATGATTGTTACTTAATACTTTGTTTTAGGAGCCGAATTATCCACTAAACTGGAAGGGGTCTCATCAGTTTTTGTTTAGAGACAGTTTTTGTTACAGACAGCAAATGACAAATTGCGGAGGTCCAGCCCAGACGAGGCCAGACAGTGTGAGAGGTGGTGTAATACGGCAGGGGCGATCTGAGTGACTTTGATACTCTAGCATCGTGACACAAATGGAAATAAGCTGACCTAAGAATTGTGCTAATATGAGCTTTAAAAGTAAGGGCAGAGTGCAGCGAGGCTCCAGAGGCTCTTGGACACGCCGCTGACAGTTTATTATGGGAAGGTCAAACCCCCGACAATACCCGACTGGGACCAGAGACGCACAGAGGACAGCTGCTCTCAAACTAACATTTGCGGTCGGCACGTTGGCCAACATTTTGCGCGGCATCACAAATGTGGCAGACTGGCTTCTATAAACGGCCCCTGCCGTCACCGTCCGTCCCGTGCATCGCCCTCCCTTCCCCGTCCGTGCTCCATGGACTCGGGGTGGGATGCATGACGGCCTCCACCCTCCACCGCCCCCCATGGACACTCAGACGATTCCTCCCCAGGTCGTGCATTGGGGCAAGTTTAGAGATTGGCGTGCGGTGCACAAAGCCACGTGGTCGCCCCTGCTTCATGAATGGCTGCTTCTGTTCGGTGTCTGATGACAGCCGCGCTGGAGCTTGGGAGCGTTGGGCTGGCAACTTCAGAACTCGGGGTTCTCACATTCTGTTAATGTCATCCGTCTTGCCTTTTTTCAAAGCGTGAACAATGATGCTAATGCCAATGCCATTGATGACAATGTTGATGACGATGATTATAATAATGCTGATGAAAGCAACCGCAGGAATGTATCTGTGCAATGCAGCGCACCTGTATGAAGATGATAAATGTATGTTGCATGTATGCACGGTGAGCATCTTTCGCACCGTACGTAGCCAACCGTGATAATCGAAGGAAGGCACGTACGGAAGTGGGAGCGACGTGCTCCCAGTGGCTTGAGTTAACAGTGGTGCCAATTAAATCCAGGCTGGGTCTGCGTCTCAAACCTTTATATATATTTGTGTTGTTACAGGTAAACCGACACTTCCGAAAATAACAGCAAACAGCCTTCCCATTCTTGCCAACACGCTTGAGCAGGTACTTACCGTAGAAAAACAAAAAACATTTTTTTTTAAAAATGGCACCACGTTGTCTTGGATCGGGCCAGTTTCTCACCCCGTACATCATGGCCCTCCCGCTCTTTTGATTTACAGATTGCCACCTGCACATCGAGCAACGCGTTCCCGGAGCCTGTCATCGTGTGGTACAAAGATGTAGAGAAGATGGATAAATCTGCAGGTGGGGTGGTTAGCGTGCTGCACTACGAATCTGGTGCGGTGTGTAAACATCACCGCTGGAGAGACAAAGGCGGCCGGGCATGGTGTTGGTCACCCACCCCCTCGTGCACCTACGTGTGTCCTGCCGGCCTTCGTAGGTGCTCACTGAGCACTTACCCTAACGAGTGTGTCAGGGCTACATGGGGGATCTTTGTCTTTGTTTGTTCGTGCGTGGCAGCCAAATGGAGTCGCACATGCAGAATTCGCCAGCCCCCCACCTCCTTCAACCTCCACCAACACTAATAATGACAAAGGATCCACCATATAGTGCTGTTAGTGAGCACATTTTCTAGCCAGAATGGCACACGATGGGTGTGTTGGCCAGTACCACGCCCAGTCTCCTTTGTCTCCCCAGTGACGATGTTTACTGCACGCTGCACCAGGTAGGCTGAGTCGCCCCAAGGGGGCCCAGGACCGGTTAAGATGTTCATCACTGTTATTAGTCGTGAGCGGGAATCGAACTTTGTAGCGCAGTGCACCGACCCACTCCCCGCAAAAGTGACGCACACCTATGCAGCCACGTCAGTTGTTACGTAAACAAATACATTGTGGTTATTATATTGCTTGTCATTATTAAAATATTGAAACATAGGCCTGCTCATGCGGGACCGGTCATGGCAGTTTTTGTTTGACACGTTTATGAAGATGAGATCGGGGTGAGGGCTCGAAGCTGCTCTGATAACACTTGCCACTGAAGTTAGCCATGGCTAAATCTAACTCGGGTCACATGGTCCATCGCGCAGTGTGCTACCCATGCCACTGCTCCGCGCAGTGTTAGTATTTGTGTAGTGACGAACTCGGGGACACTAAGAGTTGGAGGCATTTCTTATTAATAAGCACCATGGGGGTTAACACGTTTATAATAACTCTTTGGTTCTTTCGGTAAAGTCACGTAGAAAGAAAATCAATTAAATAATAGAGTACGACGTTTCGATTGCAACACAAGCAACCGTCATCAGGTGCAACTAAATTTGAGAGAGAGACAAAACACAGACACGGAGACACACAGACAGACACACAAGCAGAGAGACACAACGCTGACACACAGAGAGAGACACACAACATAGACACACAGAGACCCAATGCCTCTGTGTCGAGGCCTTAAATAGAGAAAGAGAAGTAGGGGGGCAGAGAGAGAGAGGTGGGTCTGCTGGGGCAGCTGCTGGAGCGGAGAAATCAGCATGTCAATGAATCCACCCCGAAGCGACCGAGGGAAAGAAGATGGAATGGCCCTATGAGAGCCTGGTCAATTTTAGAGAGAGAAATAGTTTGAGAAAACAAAATCTAACAAATCTTTTGGAAATGTAATGTAATGCAACACAGAGAGTCGGCTAACACACAGTTACCGCATAGCCTGGTTGATTACGATCTGGTTGATTAGGATCTCCACTTTCATAACAAGTCCGTATATGGTCAGCGACATTACTCAGCCAGGACAGTTGGTAGGCCGCCTGGCTGGTGACGCCCCGAGATGGTGAAGACGACGAGAAGAATGGTGAAGGCTTCAGTAGCACGGCGGGGATCCCACTCCATACGACAGCCTCGAGGTCCCCTCCAGGGGCCCCTCTTATATCCTGTCAGCATGGCCTGGCTCCACCCCCGGCCACGCCCCCTTTCTAGAACCTACCAGCGGTTCTTTGTGTGCCCCTTCTGTGACCTTTCCCCCCGAGATCTCCCTCTGGTGTATCACGTGGCCTGCTGACGTCAGGGCTGTTGTAAGCCACAGACCCCCTTCCCTGCCAGCAGTCAGGGCTATGCTGCTACATTACTATTCTATGCCACTACATTTGTACTAAGTCCAAATTTAATTGTAATTCGTAAAGTAATGGTCACGCGTAATGCGTAATATTTCATTTGTAACCGGAGTCTCCTTTCGTAAAAGTGTCTTTTAGCCTCATTGTGGCTCCCACCTGATTTTAAATAAAGCATATCAATCTGTCATCTATCGTAATTTGTATGATTAAATTCCGCGGAGGGCTTAAGTGTCGGCGCTAATTGATGCCTCTGAGTGCACACAGCTGCATGTGACTCGCTGCAGATGTCGCCGACATGTGGAGTGAACAGAACAGAGGATGTCACCGGGGTTTTTTTTTGTCATTCTCCATGAAACTGACAGCTCGTGTTTAATCCCTGAACACAGCGTAGCTGCGTGCGCACAATGTCAGGCACTTAACATTGACGCGTGCTGCGTCCTTTTTACCAAGCAGAATCGGCCCAAATGACTTTTGAGCGCATATATATATTCTATTAAAGCCATAATTGTGAGTGTTTTGCCAAGAATCCGCGTGTCATGTTGGCGGTTGTATAAAGACGCCGCACCGTTCAAAGAACTAAACAGGTGTCGCTCTTTGAAAGGATTGTCTGCACAGGCAAAGTTTAATCGTTGTTTCATCCCTATTTTTCGGTCAACCGAAGTTGTTTACGCTTCACATATAGCAATTAAAAATGGTTAAAAAAATATATCACCATACGTACATGTTCATGTATAGAACAGAGGGATTTACCATCGAGTAATTCCTTTCACCATAGACACATTTAGAAAAATAACAATTTGTATTTAAGGGGCTACGGTCGAACGCGTGAATACTTTTAGAGCCTCAAAAAAGACAGATACATAAAGAATACCTGGAAATAAAGTGACATACGTATTAAAATAATGACTGGAATTCTTGCAAAGCCTACACTTAGGGCACCCTCAGCTGGTAGATTAATCTGCCTTCTGCTGTGGGATAATGAAGCACCTGCCGCTTCTGCACGGATGGCGTCCAAGCTGGCGCGGATATTCAAATCTGTATGAATGTCTCCGGAAAAAACTTTGCGACCATCGTCACCATGGTGGGATGATAACTACTTCACCTGGTATACAGGAGGTCATGAATTCGATCTCGACCCTGACCCCTGCTGTATATTCGGAGTTTGCATGTCTCTCTCCCTGTGGTGGTGTGGATTTTTATCCAGATCCTCCAGTTCTACGCTCCACGTTTAGAATCAACATCACGAATTTTGAGTATTTGGCTGCTATAAATTTCCACGCGATATCCCACTTCGTTCAGCTATCATTTGTGGTAGCCATGTCTCTTCTGAAAAAAGAGCTATACAGCTCAGTGGGCCTTACCTGGTTAAATAAAATATATCTTTTAAATAGTTTTGATGTTGACAAAAGTCCTCCTTCTCTCCGACCTTGCGACCTTTCCCGCAGCCGAGACCGAGTCGGCCGTGCAGCCGGACGGCCTCTTCTCCGTCACCTCAAAGTTACGCTCGAGACCTTCCAGGGCCGACCGTGACTCGCTCTACTACTGCGAGCTCCTTCACTGGGCGCCGGGCAAAGGCCCCGGAATGCCCCCGCAGCAAAAGCTTCTCAAGTCCGCCGCCGTCAACGTCACGGTGCACTGTGAGTCCGTTGTCGGTGGTGGGTGTGTTTCTTCGTGGTTGTGTTGGTGGTGGGTGTGTTGGTGGTGGGTGTGTTTCTTCGTGGTTGTGTTGGTGGTGGGTGTGTTTCTTCGTGGTTGTGTTGGTGGTGGGTGTGTTGGTGGTGGGTGTGTTTCTTCGTGGTTGTGTTGGTGGTGGGTGTGTTTCTTCGTGGTTGTGTTGGTGGTGGGTGTGTTGGTGGTGGTTGTGTTGGTGGTGGGTGTGTTGTTCGTGGGTGTGTTGGTGGTGGGTGTGTTGGTGGTGGGTGTGTTGGTGGTGGTTGTGTTGGTGGTGGGTGTGTTGGTGCTGGGTGTGTTGGTGGTGGGTGTGTTGGTGGTGGGTGTGTTGTTCGTGGTTGTGTTGGTGGTGGGTGTGTTGTTCGTGGTTGTGTTGGTGGGTGTGTTGTTCGTGGGTGTGTTGGTGGTGGGTGTGTTGTTCGTGGGTGTGTTGGTGGTGGGTGTGTTGGTGGTGGGTGTGTTGGTGGTAGGTGTGTTGGTAGTGGGTGTGTTGTTCGTGGTTGTGTTGGTGGTGAGTGTGTTGTTCGTGGTTGTGTTGGTGGTGGGTGTGTTGTTCGTGGTTGTGTTGGTGGTGAGTGTGTTGGTGGTGGGTGTGTTGGCAGTGTTGTGACCAGTCGAGCAGCATACTTTGCGCTTTGTCACTAAACATTTACCGGTATTCATTTTTAACAGCTGGCGGGCAAAATGCTACGGCGAGCCGCCACTGTGGTTGTTTTTTTTGCAACGTGTACCACGAACGATCCAGAAAGTCGTGCCATACAATTCGACTTTCTCTATTGCTGCTTTCTAATCACGGGCAACACTTGCGTGTAAGTTTACTCAGTTCAACGCAACCTTTCGGCAGGCAAATAACCTTATCACTAGCTTATGAATAAAATCTCCCTTCGCATGTAAATTGTTACGACACATAATTCAGGGCATCCTTGTTTAACATCGGGCGAATGTTGATCAGCCATTCTGAATTTGCTGTTGGACAAAGACTTGTGTATTTGACTTCCTACAATCCTATGATTAGCATGGTTGGCTACGTACGGTGCGAAATAAGTTCAACATACATACACGCTTTGAAACTCTGATATCCATCTTTAATTTGCATGCGCCCCCGATCTCACTACCATCTCATCTCGTGCCCCTCTTCTCATGTTGCGGTCTGCCTCTTGGCCACTATTATCTTGACTACAAATTGAAAAATCTTTCCATTAAAAAATTGAACCAAAATAAACAAGGGCCAGCGCATCATGTTTTGCCATCACATCATGAATTCAGTGAGTACGGCGGGTGGTTTGGTGCCATTCATAATATAAATGTTTGATGTTTTGTTATGGATCGTTTTACACTTTGTTCTCTTGCCCCATAAATATTTCCACCGTGCCACTGTGTTTTCTAACTTTGCAGACCTGTAATGGTAAATGCACGCATTGCTTTTTTGGTATTCTTACTAAATTCAGTTTTTATTTCACGGGCAAATTTTGCGTTTCGTTTAAGCGTTTTTATGTAGTTTGTAATTTTTGCCGCGCGGTTTTATGTCGCCGCGTATTATTGTTGTTCTGTTTTCCACTGAACGTAAAGTGCCGTGTAAATAAGTTTTTCTTTTTTATGGCTCACGCTGCAGTTATAGTTTTGTACGTCCTGTTTTTGTACAGGTCGGCTATCTCGCAAGAGACGTTCTGTGCCAATGGACGCCCACATTTGTTTGAAATGAAACGTTTTGTTCACCGAACTTTCCCTGCCCTGACAGATGTGGAAGACGTTTAACGATGCATTGATGAATCTATTCATAGCAGTTTTTTTTCTTCTTCACGACTCGGCAACGCATTCAGACTCGAACATGCGCCACGTGACTGGTTCACGAGCCACTAGTGGCCGCTACATTCACCTTCATCATTGTCACCACGTAGTAACAGGCAGTCGATTTGATTAGCATGGTTGGCGAAATAAATTCATACATTTGGCCGCGATAAATGTCTACGTGATAAGCTACTTCTTTGAGTTATCATTTGTGGCCAAGTCGCCTCTGAAAAAAGCTATATAGCTCAGTGGGCCTTACCTGCTAAAATAAAAAAAAGTTTAGTTTATAGTATAATAATAATATGGTGAACTGGAATCTTGATAATCTAGATTTGAAGGTTTCGTGACTGCAGGGACCCATACTCTTTGGTTCTTTCAGTAAAGTCACGTAGGTATAAAATATATTAAATCACGACGTTTCGAGTATGGAATCTTGACAATTCTTCATATCGTGGAGGGGGAGGTGGGGGGGATGAAGGCAATTTATTTAAGATTTTTCTTCTATCGGGTTTTGTATTTTTGTTGTTGTAACTTTGTGACTCGTCCCCTATTGAACATCTGTAAGTAAGAAAAGAGCTTCACAGCTCATCGGATTCCACCAGCCTAACAAAAAAAAGTCAAGATCCCGCTTCTAAATTCCGAACCGTCGTTACGCCCCCTAAGTGGTGCCCCCCCCGCCCCCCCCCTCGTGGATCTTTGCGGAGCGCAGATCCCCCGCAGAGAGTGACACTCGTCGTGGAGCCCGCCACTGTCAAGGAGGGAGACAGCGTCGTCATGGAGTGCAGCACGGACGGGAACCCGCAGCCCTCTTCCTTCGAGTTCTACAGGGTCTTTGTACGTGACGACTCTTGTGGTGGCGACGAAGGATGATCACGCCTGCGACTCTTTGCTTAGACTCAACTCCCGCCGTGTAGCCCTCCGGCCTATGAAAGATTAATGGAGAAAGGACAAAAGAAATAAATAAATAACGTGATGGGGACTTGCTTAAAGGAATGGTTACGGTAGGTGCGTTTGAGATTGTTGGGTAAATGCTGTGAGAATGTCGGCTGCAGGGGCAAAGCAGAACCACACGTCGAACTGTCGAGTGAAAATACGACCTCGCTTTTAGCTGTGTTGTGTCAGCGGGACACAAAATAATAGAATAATTTTTTTTACGTATTTTCTGGTTTCTTTTTGACACCTAAACTTTTGCAGAGTGCCATACCAATTATTCACTTTAATATGAAATATAAACCCATTTTGATGGAACAAAAAAAATAAAAAAAATATGGAGCCGGCTTTGGATAATATTATGTATGGAAGGTTGACTCGAAAAAGCCAAGATAAATGGTGGAAGCTTCAGTCAGTTCTCGATTGAAATTCAAAACAAAACGTTTTACACATTTATAGTCGGTGTGCATCATCAGTCATTCTTGACAGAGGTATGTAAAACACCTAATTCATTCATTTTTCAGCTGGGGAGCCGCTCCTCCCCCCCCCCCGTGCCGCATCACAAAGCCTTTAACCCTTCCCCTGCGCCCAGGAGAAGGAGGAGAGGCGGGAGCGGCTGACCACGGGCGTGCGGGGAGCGCGGCTCACCGTGCCCGCGGTGCAGCGCTCCGACTCGGGCGTCTACGCCTGCACGCCGACCGTCACGCCGCCCGGCCAACCGGGACCGGGCCTCACCGCCGATCGCAAGGCCCTCTACGTGCACTGTGAGAGCGAGCGGGATGCGTGGCACCCTCCCCCCCCATAACCCCCCATCCCCCCGTGGGGTTTCTGAGCAATAATCGTTCGTAAGAGCACCGCTCAGAACCCGCCCAGCGTTTTAACCCTCTGAACAAATTGGCGGTGTCGAGATAAGAAGGCAGCTTCTCATCTCCTTGACTTGCACAAAGCACCGTGAAGAGTATGGACTGAGTCATCCGCTGGACATTCGCGATGCGCCCCCGTGGTTTGACACGCGATGCGCGGATCCCGCCCAACGTACCGCTTGGGTCGTTCATCACAGGTGGTGACGAGTGATGCTTCTCTGGAAGTTCTCATCCCCGACATCTCACCGCCGGCAAAAGCGTTGCGTGCACACAACAAGCCTCACGTTTCGTGCAGCGCCACTTTTATTGCTGGAATGGGGGGATGCCACGGGCGTGGGCTCGCGTTGCTTCATGAAGGGCTGCCACTCGTTCTCAAAAGTGGACGAGCCTGAGACCCGAGTTTTCAGATTACAACCCATGGAGCTCACAGGGCCTGTATACATTTCATTCAGAGCTGTCACAAGTTGGACATGATGGTTACTTTTTCTACCACTTTTTTGTTGTTGTTCCTGTGAGTTTCCAGCGACAAGCTGACTAATCTAAGTGAAAAACATGACAGCAACATTAATCAACTAACTACATTTGCATCATGCGCATTCGTTGTGAAACTGTTCTCTCTCCCTCCCTCTCTCCATCTCTCGTGTGTTTTTTTTACATTTTTTATTTTTTCCGTGTGCCCGGGCCAGTCATGGGCGAGGTGGCGCCCAGCTCGCGGGCACCCGTGGTGGTGCCGCGGGGGGGCACGCTGGCCGTGTGGTGCACCGCCGAGGCGTCCACGACCCTCGTGTGCACCTGGGTCAAGGTGAGCCGAGCGGTGGAACCCGCTCCACCTCGTCGTCTCTGTCCCTCTCTCTGTCGACGACGTTTTAACGGTGTGCGTGCGCGTGTGTTTGTTTGTAGGATTAAGAAAAGGTTCACGTTGCAGATTTTTGGTTTCTGTCAAATTCACTTGAAAGCTTTGCGCACGTGTCCCACCATACATCTGATTTAGGTGTGTCCAGGGTGTGTCAATAGACACGTCAGGAACGTAGCAAAGATGAAGACCCCCCTCATAGCCTTTACACACCGTTGGGATACGTGCTGTTAGCGAGCACCTATCAAGGTCGGCACGGCGCACGAGAGGGTGGGGTGACTAGCAGCATGCCCGGCTGCCTTTGTCTCCTTTGCGGCGATGTTTGCCCATCGCACCAGATTACTCATTTGAGCCGGCCTAGTGGAGGCCCAGGACCGGTTCAGATAATAATCGCCGCTGGTGTCGGCCGCAGCGGGCACGTGATGACACGAACACGAGCAGGTCACGGTGAGCAGCGTTCGCCCGGCGCTCCGCTCGTGAGTTTGGTTGAGGAAGCGTCGCTAGAGCGAGGGCTCAATCGGGGTTCGGTGTCTGTGGTGCGTGCGGCCCCGCAGAACGACCAGGTGCTACTCAAGGGCTTCAAGCTGAGGAAGCAGAACGTGGGCTACACGGACATGGGCGTGTACACGTGCGTGTGCACGCTGGAGGAGGTGCCGGACCTGAGCCGCAACAGCTCCGTGCAAGTGCTTGTGGAAGGTCGTTCGCTCCACTCACTCGCCCACTTCGCTCGCCCCCCCGATCACCCCCCCTGCTCGTTCCCCCACTCACCCCCCCCGCTCTCCCACTCGCTCTCGTGCTCGCTCACCTGCTAGCCTCCCCACTCGTCACCCCACTCGTCCACTCGCTTGCCTGCTCGTCCCCCCACTCACCCCCCCCTCGCTCTCCCACTCACTTGCCCGCTCTCCCCCGCCCCCGCTCGTCAAATCGCACGGCGCTCGCCGTAAACACGGGGACATGTTGCGTGACACATTGGTCGTGAGAGAAAAAATGTAATCGGTTCATATTTTTGGCGGATCGATCACTTTCAAAGACGGACTGCGAAGGGCATCTGCTTAAAGATGATTAAGGATCAGATCAGAATCTTTATTTATCCTGAAGAAATACGATGAGCTTCGAAGCTCTTCTTCACAGATGTCCTGTAGACATTCAATAATTCTCCACTTAAAGTTTTCGTGACTGCAGGAATTCATATTCTCTGGGTCTTTCGGTAAAGTCACATAGATAGGTTCAAATGAATAAAAATAACATAAACAAAAACCACGACATATTCTTGGTTCTTTTGGTAAAGTCACGTAGAAGGGAAGCAATCATCATCACCTGATGATGATTGCTTTTGTTGCAGTCTAAACGTCGTGAGAATTGTATTTTTTAATTATTTTATTGTTTCCCTTCTACGTGACTTTACTGAAAGAACTCAGAATATGAATCCCTGCAGTCACGAAAGCTTTGAATAAAAATTGAAAGACCACGACGTTTCGACCACAACACAAGTGATCCTCCTGATGACGATCGCTTGCGTTGTGGTCGAAACGTCGTGGTTTCTGTTGATTTTATTTTTATGAATTTGAACCTACCTACGTGACTTTACCGAAAAACCCGAAGAATATAAGTTCAATAATTGTTTTTTTCACCCGCACTCATATGCAAATGATTAAAAAAAAACGGCCAACGTTCTCAAAATGTATTTAAATTTGCTCCGCGACTTTTTTGGTAATTTTTTTTGTAATGATCAGCAAGATTGCACGCGTCTTAATTGTCATCTTCGTTAGAGCCTCACGGATTAAAGCGGCACTCTCATTAAGTCTCCCAATGACTCATGCACACCCCCTCGTTTCGGCCTGTGTAACGCAATCCACTTCACAACGTGGATGTGCTGCCCAAGGCAGTCTTCCCTCTCGTTTATTCTCACCGCGTCGCTTCAAGTTACACGGATGTTTGTACGTCGTGTTCACAAGGCCTCCACTTCTTTATTAGTTTTGTTGTTGCTGCTGCTGCTGTTGCTGCATTATTTCCCAATTATATTCCAGCTGTGGATACGGGCAGCGTGTCGTGAAATGACGAAATCTCCATTGGGAATTATTACGCAGCTATCAGCACATCACACTGTGTCAGAGAACCCCCTCCCCCATCTCCAAGATTATGTCATAGAACAACCTCTGCTTTCCCCTCAATAAGCCTCCTCTTTATGCACACACGCGGGCCACACCTTGTACTGCATTACAACGAGTATTCATCACGTGTCAATCACATCCTTAAGCCTTAGAGTTGGAATTTTGGCAAATTTAATTAAAAGCCAAGTTTATTGTTATGGGGGTTTTTTTTTCTCCTGCAGTCAACTCACGGTAACTTGAGAATCTGCTTTAGTAATGGGTGGTTGTCCAGAATAAAACCCAGTAAATGAGCAGTGCTGTGGCTCAATGAGCCCAGCACCACGCAGCAACCCCTCAGCTTCTGACACGGGCATCTCAGCCGCCCCCCTCGCCGCCCCCACAATTGCCACTCGCTCCTCCCTGCCAACACAGCCTCTCCCATCATCCAGTGAGTGTGACCAAATCACCCTCAATTCACCCGATCTTGTGGCATATGAACAGCTGAGCAGGACGGAGCCTGGGTGGTTGTGGATGGGAGAGTGCCAGGGAAGACCGGGCTCGTGTCAGCGTGGGCTGCGAGTTGGCCAGGCTATGGCAATGCAGTAATGGATGTCAGAATCAGAATATTTATTCATACTGCAGGAGGAATCCGATGAGCTATGAAGCACTTATTCACAGATGTCCAGTAGAGGCAGATCAGAACGTTACAACAAAACGATAGCAGTGCAAAGTATAGGAAAGGTAAACGAATCCCTTAAATACCATATAAATAAAAGTAAACACTGAGCTATTAGATTCGTTTTTCAGAAGCGACCTGGCCACAAATGATAGCTCAATGAAGTGGCTTATCATGTGGAGCTTTGAGGATGTATTTCCTTATATGTGTCAGTAGGCTTTCTCCGTGTAATATAATTTCTTTGCACGTTCCAAATTCTCATGAATTGAATTGACCAATCATCCCATTGCAAGACCCTCTTGAAAATAGTGTGATCAAAATAAAGGACATGACTATTTTAGACCTCGCTCGTGAGATGGGGCATGGTGGCTCAGAGGTCACCGAAGCGTGCTGAGACTCTGGGTTCCAATCCACAATGCAGGCACGTGTGATTCAACCGGGTGATTGTCGAGCGTACTGAGTTGGTGGTCTCAGCCCAGTCACCAATGGCTATACGCACAAAAAAACAAATTAAATATATAGTTCCATACTTTTTTTGGCAAAATTCTGGCGTTAAATTTTTTTTATATTGGTTTGACTCGTAAATGGATTTACTGTCATGTGACGAGCATTGATGACTAATGTTCCGCTTGTTTACAAAGGAAAGCCTCACTAAGTTTCAAGACTCTTTGCAGTAGGGGACGCTGTTGCTATGTGTCATCCCCATTAAGTCATTTGCGATGTCATTTTCAGCCTTGGGATGTTTGGCCAACATGAGTTACATAGGTGGAAACCAGAGAACCCTGAGGAAACCCATGCAGAATAGGGGAGAACATGCAAACTCCACAGACGAAAGGTGCCCGAATTGGGAATCGAACATAGGACGTTCTTGCTGCGAGGCAGGGGTGTCAACCACTGCGCCACCACCCTGCCGCCCAATTGGTCTCGGTGGCGGGGCTGGTGGTAAAACGCTGCCCCCTGCTGTGTGGAATCGAGCTCACTCGACGGGATCTCAGAGGTGGCTCTGTGATATCCTCTTCTGTGGGCCGTTCTCTCTCTAAGCGCTGCTCAGGGACAGAACCGAACGGATACTTTGTGTTGGGGTACGAAAAGGATTATCATCATAATCAACACTACTACTATTATTCTTATAATTTAATAATATTAACATCTCGCCACAGTGGCAAGATGTTAACTGCCTCGCCTGGTATGCAGGAGTTTGTGGGTTCAATCCCGACCCTGACGCGGGTATACTTGGAATTTGCGTGTCTCTCTTCCCGTAGTCACGTGTTTTTTTTTCTGCCGGTCCTCCGGTTTTTCCCTCCACATTTAGAAGCAACATGCGTTTTGAGTATTTGGCTGATATAAATTTCCACGCGATAAGCCACTTCGTCGAGATATCATTGTGGCCAGGTCGCTTCGAAAAAATAAATATATCGTTCAGTGGGCCTTACCTGGTGAAATAAAAAATGGTTTAGTTTTTGTATATTAATGTTATTATTTGTAAAAACGCTGTCCTTGTTCATGGGATCCTATTTTGCCAGTATCAAGATGACGAGGGTCCCATAGATATAGCAGCTCGACTCGAGCTCTTAATGCTTTGATATTTGCATTGACTCTGTGTGTTCTCTGGTCTAACACTGGCGGTGAGACAAGGCCACAGAGGAGGCCGTCTCTGGTGTAGGCCAATCATTTTCAAGGACAATACACATATATATCATCAAAGCGCTTTTCCCTACATGTTTTACCACAAGCGTGTGTGGTTAATGCAGACTTGATGAGAGGTGTTCTATTTGGTGTTCGAACACCTGTATCCTTGCCGGAAAGGGTAAAGCCTATTCCTTTTTGTTGTTGTTCACCAACTGTCTCTGCCTGTTGGTCCATGCTCCTCCGCAGGTCCCCCAGCGCTGCAGGGACAGCCGAGCACGTGCGTTGATGTGAACGAGAGCCTGGAGCTCGCATGCACCATGCAGGGCTTTCCCAGGCCCCACGTCATGTGGAGCATCACCGGGAGCCAGGTGGGTGCCTCCGTCTCCCCGTGGAGCCGCGCAAACCACGGCGTTGTTCGCGTCGTCGGTTGGCTGCGTGCGGTGCGAACGGAGTTTAACGTGCATACATGCGCCGTGCGGAAGTATAGAAGCGACAAAATAACTGAGGGCATCATTGCGCCTCCTCCTTCTTATATATTATTTTATTGAACAGAAACACAAGTTTTTTTTTACATCCCATCAGCTACGTGGCCCCCTTGAAACGCAATATGTTCTTGCCGTTGTTAATTTGGAATACGGTATTCATTTTAAGTGTCTGACTGAACCATCCAGAATGTGCCCGACCTTGTCAGATTTCAGAAGCTAAGCAGGGATGAGCGTGAATAGTGATTGGATAGGCGATCACCACGGACAATGAAGTTGCAATGGGTTGCTGCGGGGATACATTGTGGGCAGCAGAGAGCAGTGCAGCAAAGTATGTTCTGTTCTGTACTGAACCTCTGATGAGCGCGGTTGGCCACGTACGTTGCGAAAGAAGTTCAACATACATAGTACATACAGGAAAGTTCCGGACGATGGGGGCAGCAAAAGAAATAGGCGACCTTCCACTGAGTGAAGGTTGACTGGAGGCTTCCACGGCCAGCGCTTTGATTGCTTGACCGAACCATCCAGAATGTGCGTAGGGAGGGAATAGAGTGAGATGAGAGGCAAGGGGTGGGCAGGAGCGAATCCGCGGAGGATTCTTGAAGACAGCGAATGCAATCTTGAAAGTTAATCCGGGATCGCACACAGGAGCCGCTGATCCCATATGAGCAGCAACTCGCTCTTGAATTTATTCCGGCCGCTGGATGTGATGACCGCAACGGATTGTTTCCCAGATTCAAAGTGGCTGACACGAACGCACTTAAAACGGTTTGGACCGGGAACGTATCAGATATGTGCGCAATCATCTCACCTCCGTGCTCCGGGGAGCGCTTGCCCCGTGCGCGCACCCAAGGAGGAGGGTGCGGCGTTTATGGGAACGGGGAGGTGGGGGGGAAGTTAACGTTTGGCTGCGTTTTATCCGATGTAGACTCGCGTTCAAAAGATTACGATGAAAGCACCAGCCGCTCACTTTCATCAACCGCCCTCCGCCGAGGTCCATTTTAATACGAGCACGAACAACGGGCGCTGATGAGAATTCATTTTTGCGAGGTGCCACGTGAAAATTAAACGCCTAAAAATAACTGCACCGATCGGCGTTTAGTGCTTGTCTGAGGCCCCGTGTTAAATATACTAATTCATTATCAAGGATAACGTACATTTTTGTTAATCCACTGCTAGATGAAGGACACGTGTTGGTCATGGAGGTTGTTGGACAATACTTCACCACACTGGTCGGTGTTTGAGAGTGGTGGCGCAGTGGTTAGCGCGCTACATCACGAACCGAGTCTGATTCCTGCTCATTAACAGCACCTGTTCAGTCTATACGGAGGATCTTTGTCACACTGGTCAGTGCATGTTGGATATCGCTCGCCACTGATGTTAACCGTGGGCAGGAATTTTACTTGGGTCGCCAGGTTCACAGCGCAGTACGCTAACCACTGTTAACTGGTTCCTCCCAATTGTTTAATGTTATTTGATAGGCCAGGTTACGTTTACAACTGTAAATAAAGTACGTTTTTGCATATTTGTAAACAAATTCTATTCTGCTTCTCATGTGCATGTTTACGAGGCGGTGCTAATTGTGTATTTACCACAGTGGTGGAGGTTTCCAGTATAAATACACATTTCACAGGGACAAGAAAAAAAATCATCATATCCTTAGCGTGCTATGGAGCGCGGGTGGACGGTATCGTGGTTACAATTAAAATAGTTTGATTTGCGGCTACGGCTAACATCAGTGGCGAGTGATGTATTAGAGTGGCCAGTGTGATCAAGTGCGGTCAAACAAACCCCATGCTGACATTAAATGTGGAGGGCCTTCATCCAGAAGCAGATTCACAGTGGCTGATTTTGATGAGATAATCTTATCATAACAAGGTGATCGTCAGCATTTGCAGGGATTTTTGGAGGCCTTGACCTTGGGAGGTGCTATACATAAACTGCTGTCATATGGTATTTTATAAAAAAAAATAGTTGAAGGAGCATTGATTAAACACCAAGTTTAGCAGTTGCGGATTGCATTAGTTGTCAATCTTTACACAAAGTTTTCAATTTATCAATACATTTGTCAGTGGATCTTGCTCCCAAGGATGCGATCTGATGATAACTTACCTGTGTAGGGACATATGACGTCACTACTATGTCGGGACTGTACGAGCGTAGGGACATTTGACGTCACTACCGTGTCGGCTCGGTATGGGCGCTGTAGGCGGGTGTCACGGGGGTCGTGTCAGGCCGTGGCACTCCGCGTGAACCCAACAGGACACGTGACCGAATAAAGGGGGGCCAGGGGCCCCAGGGGGAAGCTTTGGGGTCACTTGGATCGAGAAGGGGGGATGGCCTGGAGCGGAGCCGGCCACGCCGGAGTGGTTATAAGCGGGGCGTGAACGGGGACCAGGCTTTCGTGACTGCAGGAATTACTCTTTGGTTCTTTCGGTAAAGTCACGTATAAAGATAAAATAATAAATTAAATACTAGCATACGACGTTTCGATTGCAACACAAGCAATCATCATCAGGTATAAATGAAATAGAAACACAAATCTAGTATACTTAGAAATGTAATGTAATACAACAGTCGGATAACATAACAGTCAACACCCTACCTGGTTGATTACGTTCTTCCTGAGAATGTTAAATTTGAGAGAGAGAGATAAAACACAGAACCAGAAACATATAGAAAGACATATAAGCAGACATATCACAGAGATACATAGAGAGAGAACAAACATAGGCACACAGAGAAAGCAACGCCTCTGTGTCGAGGCCTTAAATAGAGAGAGGGGGCGGGGGCGGAGAGAGAGGGAGGGGTTACAGAAAATTAGCATGTCAATGAGTAGCACGACGAGTGGTACGGTGCGAAAGCTTGAAAATTAGGGGACAGGGAGAGAGACAAACGTAATCAACCAGGCATTGCGTTAATTGTGTGTTGACCGACTCTCTGTGTTGCATTACATTACATTTCGATATTTTGCTAGGTTATTTAATTTAGTGTGTCTCTCTCCCTGTACCACTCGTCGTGCTACTCATTGACCAGGCAGCAAGCCTTGAGCAGGAAGGAAACACCATCACAATTTAAGGCACTCATTCTAGCTGTGAAGTTCTTAACCATGACAATTATTAGAACCAAATATTTATATGCATTACGTGACATTCGTATGGTAGGTCATCCACAACGAACTCTAAGCAACCTCTGCATTTGCATGCTTTTAGTATAATAGTGATAATGTAACAGACCCTTGTGAACCCACCGCAGGATGAAGGCCCTCACATGCCATGTCCACTCGATATGCTGGCACGAAAATAGTAATGTAACATGATGAAGACCAGAACCGGCTAATGTACTGCACCAGAGTCTCTAATGGTTGTCAACATAAACACCACGACCGATGGACTTTGAGGCGTCGCGGCCATAATGTCATTTAGCTTTGTTTAGTGCGATGCTCACGGGCACAGTCAACAGTTGCGCGGTGGGTCCTCTAATTAAGCTGAGCAGGGTTGAGTGAAGAGACCCCAGAAGTGAGCCTGGGTAGGGCAGGGGCAAGCGGCAGGGTGCATTTGTATTGCGAGAAGATCGAAGTGGCTCACGCTAATAAGGGCGCACGCGGGCACCCATTGGGCACAAACGCCGAACAAACAGGGACAGCCGCGGGGACCGGCTCGCCACGGCCGTTGTCAATCTCTGCCTCTCTAAGAATTCGCGACAAGGTTTGCCTTCGTTTGGCACCGCGAGTCTGGGGACATTTCCACTTGGAATATTATTATATTTTCTTAATGTGGCTCAGTCTGGCTTATGCAGATCATGGATCTTGAACACGCTTTTCGCGAGTGCATTTCTTACGATTCATTTTACGGACATGGTCAATTATCGCCGTTCGCGCGCTTTGCGTTCCAAGCCTGCGTGGCGCATCTGCTGCACGGTGCAAGGGACTGTGTGTGGTCACATGTTTCTCACGGCCAGATTGGTGTTGCTCTTTTTTCTGGGTTAATTTTTACATGGAGAATTCTAAATGGATATTTCTTACAAGCTATTAGTGCCAGCAATTTTATTTCCTCTGAGGCGCAACTTCAAGTTATGAGCTGCCGTTTGGTATGAAAATTATAGCATTAGCCTTTCTGGTTTAAGCTGACTGCTTATGCGGCGTACATATAAATGGAACCGAAAGTACAACTATCTATCCCATAGGAGAAAAAATATATGAAACATTGCGCTCAATATTCTCATTAAATCACAAATATATTTTGTTGTAAATTACAAGTACTCAAAATGCACTTCAAGATTATAACCGTCAGCTACGAATGCTTATTTTCGTATTGTGTTCAGGCCTTAATGAAAATGCACAACATATTTTAACCATAAGCAACAAACACAATTTAAATTGTAATTTTTCCAAGAAGTCAATGAATAACAAATTGAACTGTGGAGGGCGATATAAGTGGCTGGATGAGAGTCATTTTTAATGTACAACAGCGGGTGTTTTTTTGCTAATTCTCATCATGTACGTGATTAATCAGCGCGTTTATCTATTTATCATACATTGCCCTTTTCTTTATACTTTTTAAAATAGGTATCCAATTAAAAACGGGCATATGTGCAGCGCTTGGGCAATGGAGAATGTTTTATCCCATCGCTGAATCGGCTTTCGCACAAATACAACACGCGAAGCGCTGCAGTCCAGCGCCTCCCGCAGCGTACTTCTTTTGGCACCCTCGTCGAGCTAATGATAATATAATTACAAGCGACCCCCGATCTTGAACTTGGATCATATCCCCAGGCCTCGGGGCCTTCTTCGCCGTGGTCCCGCCGTCGCCTGCAAACGCCTCTCCCCCTTATTGCTCGTGCCGTGCGCTTGTGCGTGCGCGCAACGTCGTGTGCTCCGTTCGTCTGTCGTTTCAGTCCGAGGAGTGGGAGGAGCAGAATGCTCTGCTCATAAGTCGGCTGGCGGTGTCTGGCTTGGAGCCAGCGCAGCAGGAGGTGACATGCAACGCCAGCAACCGGCTGGGCACGGAGGGGCGACGCTTCACCCTGAGCCGCAGCTGTCAGTACCAAATCCTCTCAAGCAACAATTTGCCTCTCGCTGAGTGTAGCAGTAAGATCCATAACATTTCTGCCATTTGAATTTCTAAATACAAAAGTGTTTACTTTGAAAAAAAAAAGTACACTAGAACCCCCCCCCCCCGCCTTCCAAAGTCGGCACAAAACCGGCGATCTGAAATTTTAAAATAGTATGCGTTTTGTTGCCTAAACTTTTGACAGAATTGTGAAGTATTGTAAATGGGTGTTTGGATTAACAACCCTGCCAATTAATTATTATGGCTAAATCAAATCGGTTCTACTGTATTTGCTGTGTGTGTGTGTTTGTTAAATGGGGTGCACTGCGTTAAATGAGATGCCATTTCTCGTCGCGTTATTTCCTTGTCAGATATTGCCTTGTCAGATATTGCCACCAAAACGAAGCTTCATAGGTAAACATGCAGCGCTGGGGCGCGACACCATGCATGCCGCACGCTCGCTCGCAACAACAGAGCCCCGTTCTATTCAGACAAGGAGAAACTTTTAACCCCATATAATATGCAAAGATTAATTTTACTTTGCAAAACTATTTCCTCACCCCTACCGCCCCGCCCCCCCCCCCCTTACATCGGCAATGACAGCTAAATAACCAATTTACGGACAAACCAGAAGAGATGGCAGCAATATAATTTCGACAAAGGAATGTAATTGCACTTGAAATGGAAAATTAAACATTATTTTTCGAAAACGTCAAAACTTAATTGCACACTCACATCCGAACAAGCCCTACAATGCAAGGGAAGATCGCTTCGATGAAAAAAACCGTGCGGTTGCTCCTTGTTTGCTGCGCCAAAAACGGCATCGGTCGCTTTTGCTTTTGTGTCCAATTGTGTTGTGTTCTGCTCCCTGGTGTCTACTTGACAGGGAGAGCCTGTGTTGACATTGCGCATATTATTATTATGGATAGCCGGTAAAGCTGGCGATAATATTACTGTTGGCTGCCTGAATCTGTCGAAGGTGTGAAGAGAATTCATGCTGACTTGTTGTGTGGGGGGATTTGGGTCACATTTAATGGAGTGCCGCTGGTGTATATATTCTGCTCTATGTGATGTACTATGTAAATACTAATAAGGTGGGATCATACGATCGGTAGGTACAGGTGCATGCCTGCGATTGCTTGCTTACACTACTGCTGGCAGAAGGAACTTCACTAGAGGGAGCTCTGGAGGGTCCCTTGAGAGGCTATTTTGGCCTACTCGAGATGTCTGGGATGCGGTGGAAGTTCCCACATTTTATCCCACCACGTACAGATGGACTAAATGTAGCCGTTGTATGCTGTTTGATCTGGGGTCGTTAACCAAAATAAAAAGAAGAGCTGTTTTTTTAAGTAAGTAAATATACAAACCTCAATAGTTCAAGAGCTGCAATGCACGTGGTGAATACGAGATGGTGGTCCTTAATAAATAATGTCACAAAGCAGTCCTTAATTGAGCCACATTCGCCTCTGGGGCTGCAGGTTTGCCGATTCCCTGCCCACGGTGAACTGAACTTCCGCGGTGAATTGGACTTCCATTTTTTTGTTCGAATTTCAAGAGCCACCACAGGAGTCCTTAAAGAGCCACCGCATGCAGCTCCGGATCTGCAGGTTACCGACCCCTGGTGTTAGATGGACAGAGGCAGTGGGAGATGGGGGGGGGGATTTCAGAAATTCGCCACCATTGCTTTGACTGTCGAGCCAGGCGATTGGATGGAACCAGCGATCTCTAAATTTGCAAGTCCGATGGACTAATCGTTACACCACTGTGGCAGCGTTCTAAAAACGATCCAGACGGGAAAGAGGAATGGATAAGCAGGATATTTTCCGGAGCAACCATCTGGCTGCAAAATCAATACAATGGTGTACGTTTGATTAATTCACGTACAAATAGCTAGCTACAAGAAAATAGGGATGTATTTCCACATATACATAGACTAATTTTAGCACAGTTCTAAGCAAAATAACATTGCAATACGGGCTTTACACAGTCTTGTAAAATAATGCAGGTGTGGAGGAGGTTTGTTGGCAGAAAAATGTTAATTTTATCCATTTGCACACAACAATAATATAGTTAGTCACCGAGGCCACGGCGAGGCTGTAGATAGCGAGGCTGCTTTTTATTCTCTCTGCATGTTACTTTTTTATTTTTGCATTCATGGGATTGTAGAGAATCTTGACAGGGTGTGTTTGGATTGGAATTGCATTCATATCCTCCGATGTTCTGGCTGGTTTGACAATGATCAATGATAATTGGGTTTCACTCGAAGCGGGAGGTACAGTGGTGGCTCTGCAATCTGGAGAGAGAGTTGCATTTGTTTAGAGTATCTCGGTGTGCGGATCAGGAGTCTGGCACTGGAAGACGATATTGATAGTGGCAGTGGGAGGCACATCCTGACCAACACACACCTCCCCAACCACCACCTCTTCAATCCACAGAAACAGGTCCCCCTTATAGCCTCATCAGACTTTTGTGGCAAGTGCTGTTCGCAAGCACCTACGAAGGCCGGCATGGCACACGAGGGGGTGGGTGGACAGCATCACGCCCGACCGCCGTTGTCTCCCCAGTGGCGATGTTTACACACCGCACCAGGTACTCACTTCAGGCTGAGTTGACCTAGGGGAGGCCCAGGACCAGTTTAGATAATCGTCACTGGTGTGGATGCGAGTGGGAATCGAACTAGGGCCGCCGGCTTCATAGTGCAGTGTGCTAACTGCTGTACTCTGCAAGCGCACTCGCCTGCAATTTATGTAACATCCCCTTCAGATTTCTCTTCCAACACGCATGTGGCCGTGCTATTCGAGCCTCTGCCTTTGGCCATAGATGCTGCAATATTGGCTCGGCGTGATTTAAAGCTTTCGTGGCTGCAGGAATTCACATTCTTTGGGTCTTTTGGTAAAGTCACGTGGATAGGTTCAAAGAAAATAACAAAATAACTAAAAACTACGACGTTTCGATCGCAACACAAGCGGTCGTCATCCTGATGTTATTTTCTTTGAACCTATCAACGTGACTTTACCGAAAGACCCAAAGAATTTGGTTCGGCGTGCTAATACTACATCGATTGAAATCGAATCTTAATGACGTCACACTCCCCGAAATGTGTGCGTAAGAATCGCTTGTTCGTAATGTGTGGCAATGTACACGCTCCTGTTACATCTAGGTTAAAGGAGCGAACAAAAAAAATATGTATAAATTGTATGGACAAAAAACCGCAACAACAAAATTCAAATGAGATGGAAAGTGAGACAATTTTTGTTAAAATCAATCATTGAAACGAATTGGAACCTCACAGCGTTATCATTCTTTAATTCTTGGGGGAGGTAAAGCAGGTGGATTGCTTCACTATTCTGGCAAATCTCTCGATGATGCTGGATGTAATTACCAGCGAAACATCGTATTCAAATTGTAAATGTTGTGGCTTGACTCTTCAACACACCGGTGGGCTGAAGAATTAACTAATTGGCGCGTTATTTACGTTACAAACCTTACTGGCTGTGTAGGGTGGTGAAGGGTTATGACACATTTATACTTACACGATGTAACCCAAAAACCTTTATTATGAATCATATTGGTCGCAAAAGTCTACGTGTTAAACGCTTGCTGTTGGCCCTCCACATGTGGTCCAGGATAAGGCAATGCGCCTCTACGAACCCATGTATTTAATCAATGCCGTATTATTTTAATAATAATGAAATTATAATAATGCCCATTATTTAGCTATGGAAATCTTCGCCGAGTCTCAAGACTCACTTTAGGAGAGTCAAAAGAGTTTGTGACTTAACGTGGAAGGAGACCAGAGTCCCTGGAGAAACCTATTGGATATCTGTAAAAAAAGAGCTTCACAGCTCATCAGATTTCTCCGGGATAAATAAAAAATTGTGATTAAATAGTCTGAACCCCACAGTTCGCATAGCGGTGGGCGCAACGCTCGGCGCTGCCATTTCCCGGCAACACCACGCAAGGCCCCCTGACACGACGCTTGGCCAACCGTGGCCATCACCAATCCCGAGCGCCGACAAGGCCGCGGTGCCGCTTGCGAATATTGCGATGGGACGTATGAATATGTACGTATGTCGAACTCCTTTCGCACCGTACGTAGCCAATCGTGCTCTAGCGGAGGTGCCGGGGGGAAGGACGAGATGGAGGACGCGGTTTTCAGGGAGGTTTGTTTGCTGCCGTGGGGATGCTGGCGTTGCGTGACAGAGGGTCGTCGTGGCCCCGCGTGTCTCCTGTCGCCCGCCAGGCTGGCTGCAGAACGCCCTCGTCCTGGCCCTGGCGGTGGGCGGCGCGCTGCTGCTGGCGCTCGTCGTCGTGGTCGTGGTCCTGGTGGTGAAGCTGAAGCGCAGGAGGGGCCGCGCGCCGCCCGACAAGACGCCCAGGCAAGTGGCGCGTTCCACCGGAGCGTCGCCGCCGCCGCCGTTAGCTGCCGCGTCGTTTCGCCGGCGACGTCCGACGTTTCGCTGCGCGCGCCCCGAGGGCTTCTTGAAGAAGTGGCGCACAGCCGTGGGCTCGTCAGCACTGCCGCGAGAAATCTGACGCACGAGCGGAGTTTTATCTGCCCCCCACTACGTCCCTTTGCCCCCTAAATATATGACAGTAATGGAATTGTCACCACTTATTATCCCTTTGTTTATTGCATTATTGTTTTTTCATATGAATTGTATTTTTTATGTCGCGACAACATTGCTAACTACTTGCCGACTGATTTAATTCCAAACGGATTAAATTCGTAATGCGTTATGCTTGACAAAGTCTATTTAAATCAATTACGGCCATTGATTGTTAAATTGATTTAACAAAAAAAAATCAGCATGCAAAATAAGGCAACACATTAGCAAGGCCCTTTGGTCTCGCTCTTTGTGTACATATAGATTGTACTTTGGATAGAAAAGGGACCTTGTTTAGCGAAATACTCAATAATAATTAATAAATTACAGACCTTTGTCAATCCACTGCTGCAGGAAGGCCTTCCCACGCCTTTTGTTTGGCCACACTTCGCCGCGCCGTCGTTCCCTGTGGGTTCGTGAAGGCAAAGAGCCACTCACCACGGATGTGAGCCGTGGCCAGGAATACAACTCGGGGTTGATGGGTTTTGTAGTGCAGTCTGCTAACCGCTCCACTTCCGTTTTCACTTCCAGATAAACATATCAGAGTATATATGTGTGTTTGTTTGTGTGTTAGGGAGCGGTAGTGTAACGGTTAGTGCGCTTCGCTACGAACTCGGTGTCCCGAGTCGGTGACCCGAGTTCGATTCTCGTTCATGGCTAACACCAAGTGACGATTATCTGAACCGGTCCTGGGCATCGCTTAGGTCGACTCAGCCCCAAATGAGTACCTGGTGCGGTGTGTAAACATCGCCACTAGGGAGACAAAGGCGGTCGGGCGTGGTGCTGGCCACTCACCCCCCTCGTGTGCCATTCCGGCCTTCATAGGTGCTACTCGCTAACAGCACTTGCCCCAACAGTTTGTTAAGACTATACGGGGGACATTCGTTTGTTTGTTTGTTTGTGTTACACTCTACCTCTCTGAAATCTCGATGTGCTGTGAAGAAGGGTCATCAATGCTTTTGTTGTTGTAATAATGAAGAATGTGCCTTGTTTCTTGTAGAACTTCAAACAATGAAAAGCCTGAACAAGAGCCGCTCAAGAAGGGTTCACTGGTGGACACCACCAAGGTGTGAAGAGGCTGGGAACCAGCCACAGGATTACTCTCCTTCACAAGCTGCCTTGACACGACAAACGCCTCCACCCACAATCAGAATCTTTATTTATCCCGGAGGAATCCAATGAGCTGTAAAGCTCTTTTTCCACACGTCCCATAGGGGCGGGCAGGCAGGATGGGGTGGGTTCAGCGAGTTATATCTACAAGCAATACAATAGGCAAGATTGGAGAAAAGGGTTTCAACTCGCTTAAAATAAATATGTATATACATATAAATACACGTAATACCCAACGGGGAGGAGTGCGCGCAGATGTTTACGGGATCTTATGAGAGGTAGAATTATGGGATGAGTCTCCGAGTTGCCTTCTGGCAAAATAATAATAATTCCTCGTGACTTCCACTTGTGGTTTTTATTGAATATCCAAAAATGTTGCGGACTTGGATAATACACCTGATGGATTTAATTTGTACAGTGTAAAATAGTACCGTTAGGTTTGTAAATATTTTTGTAAATTATTGTACAGGTTGACTTGGAAATGAGATTGTGTTTTTTGTAATATTTAAATAATTTGTCATTTACGAAATAAATAAGTAATATATCACGTTTATTGTTTTTCAGGTTTTTGTTAAAGTAACATATGAAATGTATGCCTTTTGTATATACTGTGCTTTAAATAGCTGTTTAAAACGTACTGGCTTATAGTTTTCTCTTTCACAAGGGGAAAAGATTCACATTCCATGCTGTCATGCATGTGTTTATTCTAAGAGAGAGAATGGAATATCTAACGGTTGCCTGTCATGCTGCAGTAATTATGCACTTCCGTATCGACGACTTCCATTGATCAGCCACACGTCCAATTAACATTGCAAAAAACAACCTCAATACATTTGTCAAGAACACCGCCTTAAAAAAAGATAAATTATATAATAGTTTACGCTTTGGGCAATGGGCCTTCCTCACGGCACACGGAGAGGCCAGTGAGGTCGGCTACGTACCGTGCGAAAGACGTTCAACATACATATACTTACGGTGTGTGCGTTAGCAAGCGCCTACAAGGCCAGCATGGCACGTGAAGGAGGTGGGGCACCGAGCAGCACCAGGTGGGTCCGTGAATGCTCTCCCTGCTATGATGATCTCCAGCACCGTACCGCCGGCAAGCGGTGAGGTCCTCAGGAAATGTGCCTAAAACCCATACGTAGACCAACGTATGGGTTATCGTCTTCCCTGGCTGGTGAATCTTCACGTACATTGGTAATGTACGCAGAAATACACAATTTTTGACTCGTTATTGCATTATACAGGGTGTTTAAAAGAGATGGACCCAATTTCAAAGCAGTATATTTCACGATGGCAACATTTTACAATTACACAAAACGTTACAAACGGTTTAATGAGTTATCACGTTTTACTAACCATTTTATAAATGCTCTATGTGCCTTCCACCTGCTGTACGGACAACATCGAGACGATAGTTGAATTCGTCCCGAACGCCTCTCAAAGTGTCTTCTTCACTGCTGCCGTGATTCTGTTTTTGAGGTCATCCAGATTAGTCGCTAATGGTGGCACAAAAATACGGTCTTTGTGCCACCATGCTCTTTGACATTGGCGGATCAATGCCAAAACGCCGTTGAAACGCACGCTGCACCGCAATTACGGATTCAGTCTTTCTGAACTGCAGAACGCAAAACGCCTTGTGTTACGGGGTCACCGTCTTGCGAATGATTGAGGCTAGGGGCTGTTTGTGCGCTGGGAGAGGCATCTAGCGGTGATCATTTGAAACTCTATGCCCCGGCCTCTCTATGCCCCGCCCTTTCAAGTGGTAAGAGTTTCATTCATGGGCGGTTCGTGGTTGCAGAGATATAGCGATTTCAAATCGGGTCCATCTCTTTAAAAGACCCTGTATTTGCTGACGGTACTGAGTCTGTACCTCGGCGATTGTTTAGTTTTCGGAGGCTTTGCTGGTTGCTATACTGAGGAAGACCTCGGAAAAGCCAAGTCCAGATCGAGATACAGCTTTCACTTGATGATCGTTGGACAGTGTCGTACCAGCCATTATCGCAGCATTAATATGATGCTTGATAATGGCACTTGCCTCTGCAGCCTGTAAGGTAAAATGGGGGAACTGTTGTGTTTGTGGCTTTTAAAACGGAGACATTGACTACTTTTGACAAGGGTGTTCTGCTGATATGCACTTATATAACTTCTATGATTGCATCTCACACGTGAATCCAGGTGAAGGCGGGCTACTCTGGGTATGCGCGAATTGCTTTCGTGTGCATATATGCAACTTGGTGGCAAGCTGCCGCGCAACTGCTTGCCAACCGTCGAGTAAGGGACTCGACTCTCAAGCGTCGATCTGCTCGGGCGATTTTTTAGCGACGTATTTCAAGGCTCGAACGTCCGTGGCAACTATCGATTGCCCGTTACAATTCCGGCGTGGGTGGTGGGGTGGGAAGGGCGAAGCTTCGCCAGACACAGGATGAGCCACACCCAGACACATCGTGTCGCTCGGATGTAAACTAAAACTAAACATTTTTTATTCTACAGTAACCAGGTAAAGGCCACTGAGCTATAAAGCTTTTTTTTGAGAAAGCGACCTGGCCACAAGTGATAGCCCAATGGAAGTGGCTTATAATGTACGACATTTTTATAGCAGCCAAATCGTCTAAACGCGTGATGTTGATTCTAAATGTGGAGGGGAAAAAACCTGGAGGACCCGGAGAAGAATCCACGCGACCACGGGGAAAGAGACACGCAAACTCAAAATTTACAGGCATCTTCAGGGTCGGGATTGAACCCTTGAACCCACGACCTCCTGTATACCAGGCGAGGGAGTTGACATTTCCTAGCCACCGTGGATGTGGATAAAGCGGTTGCGGGCAGCGATGGCGTTGCATGATTTCGAGGGCAATTTCTATCGCTCAAGTTGTGGGCCCCAAGCCTTGTTTAGACTTTTTACTTTAGGATGTTCATGCGGCAGGTGGGTTCACTCGCGCTGTGTAAGGATATATACACTTCTCTTATTTACGCGTGCATTTACACTGTGAGACTTTACACTGTGAGCGATGGCGTGCTGGTGCTCATGCAATAAAACGTGTTTCCATCCAATGCAACAACAACAAACATTTCAAAACGATCGTTAAATATGTTTGAAATTATGTAAATGTAACGGAGTAATAATGATGGATACTAATTTAAAACAAAATTGTCAGTTTAACAGTATTATTACATACTCTTAATACTTTCGTTGTTTTAGATGTTCAACTTTCATGCTTTAACGTGTAGATAAAAAATACACGCGTTGTGCTTAATGATTAATTCTGGTCTTATGGGCTGGTAGTTAATTCCGAATAATTAATATACATTTTTGGGGGGAAGTGGACGTTGTTATTTCAAAATAATCGATGTCTTTAATTTGAGTCCATCAGTCAGTTGCTTTCCAAATGTAAATATTTAGGATAAGTGTTTGCTTTTTCATAACACTGTTCTCAGATACACCAATATGTTAAATAAACATGATAATGTGAATTAAACGTACACCCCCCTTTGGTAGATGGCAACTCTGTATACGGAATGTTGCTACAACGCAGGCATAGGAATCGGGGAACGAATTTGATATACGTTACGTTGAATCGCACGTTTCAGAATGTTGAATCCCGAACTTAAAATTGGTTTTGGAGGGAGGGGATGGGGGGAGAAAAAAAAATGCACGGCCATCTGTCATTTGTTCAAGCCTGCGTTTCATTCTTACCCAGGTCGTTCGCATGCCGCACTTTTCATACTCGGTTGGTTTACCGCAACTTATTTGGCGTATTATTGTTTTATTTAGAAAAAAAAATTAGATTTTCCCATTACAAAAAGTGCGCCGAACAAAATTGTTAGCTGCATTCTTAAGTGTTATTCGATTATGTCTTGGGGCCAATGTTTTTTTCTCTCCCTAGGAATGCATCTCCGATTATGTAATAAACGTAAATGAGAACGTAGGGTTCGATAAACGGCATTTTGCTTTGTGGGAAACTTTTCCGGACCGTGTCTGTTCCACGTATCGAGGGATGCCTCTGTACGTTCAGCTGGCAATTCTTCATGAACTGATTTTTTCCCCCAAATATCGCTGCAAATAACTTTGGGCACAAGGTTGTTTTCTGCTATAATTTACCGTCCGATTTGTAATTTTCTATTTCCGTCATGCAATCTGAGTGGCGCAGTTCCATTTTTCTAAATGGTTTCCACTTTTACAAAATTATTTGTTTTAAATTGTAGTTATGTTTTCACGAGAGCTTTGATGACTGCATCAATTTTCACCGAGTGAAATTCCTTTTCATAGTCTCCAAATGCCACGCATAATGGAATTGGATATTCATTATTTTTTTTCCCAACGTCTGATTGATAGTATGTATGTACGGTCATTGGTATATAAAAAAAGCTTTTCTAAACCCAGACTGCTCAAATGGTTACTTAGCCTCTGCTTTCCTTTCTTTTCCCAGTGAGCTTCGTGACCAATTACATACATGCAAGATAAACGTCTAATGAGATTGTAAGTCAAGTCAATTTTCTCACCCCTTTAGGCAATAACTTAATGGTTGAAGCATCATTCTACGGTTCAGGTATTTCACTTTCTGTACAAACATTTTGTGAAATAGGTCCACTAACTCTGTTCCAACAAATGGTTCCACTTATTTGAAAATAAGCATAAATGGGGAGAGTATTAACCATCTCCGATTTGCCGATGACACGGTTGTAATCGCAAAGGGAAGTGAGCTGCAGGATATGACTGGATACATGAATGCACAACGCTGCAAAGTTGGGCTCAAGATGAATCTGGGCAAAACCTGGATATCAAAGTTTTCTCAACAATGGTCGCTATCTGTTAGAGGAAGGGACTCGAATGGAAAACACAGTGTGGATCAATTGAGACTAGTAATTGAAATCGAGAACAGGTTGCAATGCTCACCGAAAACTTAAATGAATTATAAATAGCAACACGCATACGTGGATGAAAGCAAAGTTTCTAATCAGTATATGGACATGGATCACAAACATGGATATTGACAAAGAATATTAAATAAATGCTGGAAAAAAATACATAAAAGCACAGAGAAACGCATGCTTGGAATTACACTGACATACAAGGGAACACGGAATGGAGTCTACCCAATTTAGAGGCATCATATTGATGGTCAGGAAAAGTAGGTGGCCTTGGGCAGGACACTTTTTCAAATTGGCAATGTCTGGTAGTTGAGTCTAATGATGGAGTGGCAGTCAAAGGTGGAACTACAGTTCAGCGGATGTCTGTTGTGGAGATGGAGCGATGGAATTAGCTCGTTTGCAGTAGCTGGATGGATTGGTGCATCGCGTGACTGTGACAGATGACAACGGCTTGGGGTGGCCTACACCCAGCAGTGGATACATTGTGGCTGATGATGTATGTTGAACTTCTGTCGCATCGTACGTAGCCAATCGTGCTCATGGGAGGTGCTTGGGAAGGACAACAAACTAAACACAAAAAGCAGTTCTAAAGACATTAGTTTTCAATCTAGATTTAAACAAATCTATTATTATGATTACGATGATAATGATGGTGAGGGAACTGCAGTCTTTATA